CCCCTCTCCCCTGCTGCCCTGCGGCCTGGCCGGCTAACCCCTCTCCCCTGCTGCCCTGCGGCCTGGCCGGCTAACCCCTCTCCCCTGCTGCCCTGAGGCCTGGCCGGCTAACCCCTCTCCCCTGCTGCCCTGCGGTCTGGCCGGCTAACCCCTCTCCTCTGCTTACCTGCATTTCCTCCACTTTCCTCCTGCTGAAACTGTTCAGCTGCCTGTTCAGGCCCTAGAACCCACCTAGACTCTACTTTCTACAGCTCTCCGTATCTGTCAGATCTATCCTGTTTACAAATGAACCCCAGGCATATTGTTTCCCACTGTTCTCCTACAAAACCTATATTTCAGGCAAATTTCAAACAAAGTCTTACTCCTCACAATCCTTGTTTCAAAACCCCTGCCCCATTTTGAAGCTGGCAAGCTCTCCCCTGCTCCAAGGTCCCAGAGCATAGTAATCAGTCAGTCAGTCAGAGGCACTGCGTGCCTCCTGCAGCCAGTTTCTGTGCACACACGGTACATGTCTTCAGCAGACCCGCAGTTAGTAAAGTTCCAAAGTTAGGAGTCAAATAAGAATGATATTTTTGATGTATTTCACAAAAACTGTATAAAAATCAGTTTTCTATTGACACAGGTTTATTAGCTAATAATTCACAGTCAATAAATTTGTACTTTTTTAAAATCTAGAGTAAGAAAGCACAGCCCTACACAAAACATACTTCTCTTCTAATTCAGATCTCTTTATGATCATTATACTGCCATCTAGTGTCTATCAAGGGAGAAAATAGTTGACATAATTGAAAAACCAATAAAAACCACTCTAAGTAAAGAGTGAGTCATAGAATCTTAGGTAATATTGTCCAATAAACAACAGACATGTGTCTGCATTCAATAAAATGAAATGTGTCTTCCAACTCTGAGATTACAAACACTGTCCTTAAAACTCATGTAAACTCATCAAGGAATTTCAGGAAAGGAGGGATTCACAAGCAGCACATTACCTGAAAGAACACTTCAATATACCATTTAAAAAAAGTCGTCGGCAGCTCTGTGGGTAGGGTGCCAGCCACATACACAAAGGCTCCCAAGTTTGCGCCTGGGCTGGACCTGCTAAACAACGATAACTGCAACCAAAAAATAGCTGGACATTGTGGTGGGTGCCTGTAGTCCCAGCTACTTGGGAGGCTGAGGCAAGAAAATTACTTAAGCCCAAGAGTTTGAGGTTGCTGAGAGCTGTGAGCTATGATGCCACAGCACTCTACCAAGGGTGACATAGTGAGACTCTGTCTCAAAAGAAAAGAGAAGAAAAGAAACCTGAAATTTATTATTTTCCCCATAGGACACAAATGCGTAACTTACACTTCACATGAACCACCTGAACACCAGCAATGAGAGACCAACACAAGTGACAATTAAGAAATACGGGGCTTACCTGAAAGTGCAAAATTATTGTCCATATTAACCCCAAAGTCAATTTGGGATTTCCATCTGTTATATCATCATTTCTAATATTCACTAATTTCACCTGTTTTATATGGAAAGAAGAGATAAAAACTGTCATAAAGTCAGCACACAAGTTATCTTTACCTATGTAAAAGCAATTCTAAATAAAACAAAACATGGACTAATTTAAATAGCATTAATACTCCCCAATACTATTTTACTCTTGTCTTCAATAATTACAAATTATAGGACAGCCACAAAGCAAAATCAGATATTATTGCAGTTTTTTCTTCTACACTAAGTATTAAAAGTACACTTGTTTCATCAAAACAATAATACAACTCAAGTGTGAAGTCTTGAATACTTGACATCTTAAAATTAGAAATAATTTTATCTTTTGAAAATAAGTTTTACTTTACTCTCACCATTAAGTAGGAAAGTGCTCTAAACCCTAAAATAACTTTAGAGATTTTCTCACACATCCATCACAAAGTTTAAATAAGAAAACTAGGCTCAGCGCCTGTGGCTCAAGTGGCTAAGGCTCCAGCCACATACACCTAAGGTGGTAGGTTCGAATCCAGCCCGGGTCCGCCAAAACAACAATGACAGCTGCAACCAAAAAATAGCCAGGCGCTGTGGTGGGCGCCTGTGGTCCCAGCTACTTGGGAGGCTGAGGCAGGAAACTCGCTTGAGCCCAGGGGTTGGAGGTTGCTGTGAGCTGTGATACCACGGCACTCTACCCAGGGAGAAAGCTTGAGGCTCTGTCTCCAAAAAAAATAAATAAATAAAAAGGAAAACTAGCATTATTCTTCTATCAATTTACCATTAATAAATAAGTCACTGGGCATTTGAAAAGCTGGTCAAATATTTTTTAAAGATACAATACTCAAACTTAAAGCTGACCATTTAGGTAAATAAACGTAACAAAGATCCCTAACATTTATGTCCTGGACAAAAAAAATTAGAATTATGAATTTACTGACAATTATATACTATATCTAGCATTTTGCTTCCTGGACAAAACACTGACAAAAACCATTTCAGAGAAGGAGACATCATTAACCATCAATCCTCTGGAAACTTCCACTAGACATAAGAATAATGATACAAACACCAGTAATAGTTAAAATATTTAAGCACTGAGAATTTGCTAGTATTTAACAACTGAAAGCATTTTTATGTTTATAATAAAGTAAATGAAGGGATAAAAAAAGCTAGTCTTTCCTTCTCTCTCTTTTTTTTAGAGACAGAGTATCTCTTTGTCACCCTTGGTACAGTGCTGTGGTGTCACAGCTCACAGCAACCTCCAGCCCTTGGGCTTAGGTGATTCTCCTGTCTCAGCCTTCCCAGTAGCTGGGACTATAGGCACCCACCACAATGCCCAGCTATTTTTTTGTTGCAGTTTGGCCGGGGCCAGGTTTGAACCCACCACCCTCAGTACATGGGGCTGGTGCCCTACTCACTGAGCCAGGCACTGCCCTTCCTTCTTTTTTTATATTATAAAATAGCATATTTTCTTCTCTTTTCTTCCTTTTTTTAATACCATATTAAAAAGCAAAATTGTTAGGGCCAGGTGTGGTGACTCACACCTGTAATCCTAGCACTATGGGAGGCCAAGGCAGGTGGATTGCCTGAGCTCACAGGTTCAAGACCAGCCTGAGCCAGAGCAAGACCCCAGGCATTATGGGCACCTATAGTCCCAGCTACTCAGGAAACTGAGGCAAGAGAATCACTTGAGCCCAAGAGTTAGAGGTTGCTGTGAGCTATGACACTACAACATTCTACCAAGGGTGACAAAGTGAGACTATCTCAAAAAAAAGAAATTCTTGCCATCTCTGATTTCTCATTGTTTTTGATAATTTTCAACTTTCACATTTCTTTTCCTTCTTTTTTTCTATTAATTGAAAAATTACTAATATTTTGACTTATGCCATTATAATACACAAAACTACTAAATCAAAATCATATCCAATACAGTGCTAATTCTTTACTATGATTTCTCCCGAAACCTCAAACTAGTTAGAGACTATTGTTAGAAATATTGCTTTATTTTAACCACTCCTAAGTTATCCAATATTATCTAGTTATAAAAAATAAAATATTGCCTCATCACTCCTAAGTACTAAAAATATTTCCACTAAGTTAAAAGAATTATATAAAATATTTTTATAAAAATAAAGTGTTTTTATACACTAAGTATAAAAAAATAAAGTCTTACTTCCCCACAACTTATAACTGTTCATAGGCATTCTTAACATTTTGCTGTTACTAAAATATTACTAACTTCCTAGGCAAATGCATTCCAATTCCAACAGAAGGAAAATCAGTAGCTCTCACAGAGATGGAAATGCAGCTACTTACAATTCCACTGGGCTTATACCTACTATTAACTTCCTCTTCTTGGAAGCAAATGTTTAAAAACATTTTTAAATATTTGCCTCACCAAAGCACAAGCTTACTGATTATAATTCACAGCCAAATTTAACCTTGTCATTCCCTGACTTGCTTCTATGTAGATTTATTTAATCACGTATGTTTATATGATTACAGTCTTGGAAAAACATCATACCTGGCGTCTTTTCAAATAGTCAAGTGCAATTTGTACATTCTGTAGTCTGTGAAAACGCATCCGACCTTTCTCTCTGGGCTAAGAATAAAAAAATGCAGGTTTCAAAACATTATACCGTTCAAAACATTATAGCCATGATACCACGGCTAATTTAAATATACGTTTTGCTCATCTTAATACAAAACAGTATTTACTACTTAAGTAAGGCCATCCCATTCTTTAAAAAGTTTCTAATGTCTTTGGATTAGCTGGGATTGAATTTAAATTTTCAGGGATTGTTTTTCTGAATTTGTTTCTATTTAAACATATACTTATTCCAAATGTTTTATTTGAGCAAAAGGAAAAAAGAAAGTGTCATACAACATACAGACTTTTTATATTTGCAAATAGAACAATTCTGGCCTACCATTACTTAGCTAGGGAGGCATAAAAATAATTAAATATCATTCCCCGTTCTTAATCAACACTAACTATTAGAAAGAGACTTTATTATTATACAATGAAATGTTAATGAAAATGAGGTAAAACAGCATGCAGTTAGTATCAAAATCACCAAGAAGGGGAGAGACAGAGAAGGTTCACTTAGCCATGATAGAGGAAAAGAGAAAAGCAATTAAAGCCAGATAGTATAGTTCCTCATTATTTCACTTGGAGCTTTTCGCAAAATTGGACTCCACAACGATCAGAAAGGACTCTCTACTCATTTTACACTGCTCGGAGAGGGACGTGATTACTTCCTCATCTTGGGAAAAATGACAAACTAGAATCATTTTCCTTAATGCCGTTTCCCTCAAGAAATGTAAGTCAGCAGAAGGAAAACAGAAGGAAATGGGGCTGAGATACGTTGAACAAAAATACAAAGAATGAAGTTGTAATTTATCACATAAAATCTTCCAAAGGGAAAAAAGGAAACGGACAGCTTAGCTTCTTAAATACGAATCGGTTGCTGAAGCTAAAGTTGTCATAATAAAACAGACAGCATGCCACAGAAGGAAAAGTAAGTTTTCTATAAGGACTAGAAACGATGACAATAAATTCAACCCACTGGATCCGACAAAAGCATGATTTTTAATGATGCTTTTCAAGGGGTGCAGAGAAAACAAAACAAGGGCGTCTGTCTCGCAAACAAAGTGGGCTGCAGTCCACTAGGTGTCATGGAGATTAAAGAGCTCTGTGAGTTTTATCAGGACACTAGATTTTAAATCTTTCACCCTTCTAAATACCCTGAGATACATAGGTAGGTTTTTTAAAAGTCCATTGAATACTTATTGCCACTAGGTACTATTTAAAGCAGAAATTTAAATACTAAGTAAAATTTTCATAAGTCCCTTTAAAAAAAAGTTGTCAGGTTTAAGACATCAATTCCAGAAGTAAAACAAATTTGCACAAAAAATTTTAGCAGGCTAGTTGTAAGATTTCCATATTTATATACAAAGTATATAAAATCGTTTTTAAAATGTCATTGGTAAAATTTAAGCAAATACAGAGGGTACCAAAAAATGTACACACATTTTAAGAAAGGAAAAGCTGTATTAAAGTTGTTATACTCAACATATACCAATGACAAAAGACGATATAAGTCACCGTGAGCACCTCTTGTAACTGCAGAAGTCAAACGTGACTCGAGTAATACATATTTTATACATTTTTCTTCTTTCCTAAAATGTGTGTGCATTTTTTGGCACCCTCTGTATGTCCAATTACCATGCAGTGCACAGTATAAGTGATTCAGTTGTTTTTGCTCTCTGAAGATAAAATTAAAGAGAAACTATTTCCTTTGTGCAGATTTTTGGTACACATCCATCCACCTCACTGTGGGTTTGGGCCCTATCTAGGCTTTTCTGAAAAGGAGCCTGAACCTGGCAGTTACTTCTCTATTGGGTTAGCGCTCACCACACTGGACCGGCTAGGTTAGTCGAGTTATGGGGGCGGGCCGACACCTACCCCCTTATCCTCATCCTCCACATCCTCATGCTGTTCATATGCGCATGCTTCTGTTGCACTCACCAATCGTAAGGTCTTCAAAAAATCTCGCTCCCTTGGCTAATGAATATAACAGACAGAAGATAGGACAGCAAAGACACAAGACAGACCAGAAATGAAAAGAAGAGTGTGAACAGAACATAATGACGGAGAACAGGTAACCAAGACAGGGAGGGAATGTTCACAAAAAAAGGGAATGACACCTGCGGATTGCGTTAGACCGTTTTTCAGAAAGCAACATTTATTTCCTTGCTATGTGTGAGTCTTTTAATATGTGGTTGGTTATAGTAGGCATCAACTTCTGCTAAGCAAAAATAAAAAAAAAAAAAAGATAAAAACGGAGCAATATTTTTAATTATAGAACCGATTATTTAAGCAAAGTCATTCAAGTGCTTCAATCTCTCAAATTCATATCATTTGAGATCTGAAAGTGTTTAGGAATCTAATCAGAACTCTATTTCTCAAGCAGGCTTTACAGCTCAAACGCTGAACGTTGCAAAAATCTGAACAGTCTGTGTTGAGAACACACCGGTCGTGTGCAGACAAGATTACATGTTCTTCACATATATAAAGAAATTTGAAACTTACCAAGGTATCTCCCGAAAGAACCTCTAAAAGAGAAATTAAATTGTGTCCGTCCCTTAAGTCTTCATAGAGGTCATTCACATGTTTTCGAACCTGCAGAGAGAAATGCAAAACTTATGGTTCTAAAACTCAGAATCATCCTTGACATGCTTAAACACACAAGGGGGCAAGTTGAAAGTGTTCTGCAGTATTTAGTCAACATCCTTTTTTTTTTGTTCATCCATCTTTTTTTTAATTTTCTGCTCTCTTATTACTTAAAAACTGAATTTAAACTAAAAGTGAGCTTCAGATTAACAATTCAAAAAGACAATTAGAACTGTTATAATTTTAACACACTACAAGTTTAGACTACTATAAAATTCTAGTAATGAGGTTACAATTTGTTAAATGCAAGCCATGTCCTGACTTTATGTATGATTCCTGCTACAGCAACCAGAGGTACTTTAATAAGAGGTTAAAGAGTTTAGCTCCTGCCTACTCTAAGTTAACCCATGTCAAAATCAAGTATGCACAAACGCTCCACATTTTAAAAAACCCTATATATAAGCTGGGCAAAGGGGCACATGAGACTCTATCTACTACTTTTGTAATTTCCTGTGGACCTATACTTACTTTCAGAAAAAAAAGTTTTTAAAAAATTCATATATGTCAGGTGAGAAGGCCTCCATCCAAACCCTTCTCTGTGTAATATAAATTTTCCTGTAGTGGAAGGTTTTCAAAACTAAATAAAACCAGCACAAAATTAACACTTGACCTTTAATAGCTTCCCCCAACGCTTGATTTAAACATATGATTTCAGAAATCAAAACTCCAAAGAATTCCCCAAAACTCCATTCAGTCTGCAAAGTAGGGACAGTTCCAAGGTTTGTGCTGGAAAGACAAACGTCAAAACAGGCTATCAAGGTGGCTGGATCCGCAGTGGGCTGGACCATTTCTACTTTCTCACCTTCGAGGATTCTGGGCTGCTCTGATGAAAGGAACTAAAGAAGTGGTCCAGAAAGGAGCAGGAAACAAAACCCCACCTACTTAACCCACCGCACAAGCCCGATATGCTTGCCAGCCTTGGGAATGAACTCCAAAGGTCTCAGACTAGGAATCAAATTCCTTGGCACTTCTAAAATGGCGAGTGAATATACAGCACAAAGTTAAAAAAAGATCTAAAACTATAACCAAAACTATCTGACTACACTACAACAATCAAGAAAAGGCCTAAGGTAAACAAGAAGCTCATCTTCAGTGGTAAGTCTCTCATCCCCAAAAAGCAGCTTAAATACCATTAAACTATTACCTCTATTGACCATATATGTGTTTTGCAATATCTTTTATTAGTGGCAGAAAATATTTTTTGATTGATAAAGAAAAAACTCGCTTTACCAACTTCTATAGCTAGTATTCTGGGACTTTTCACTTAAGTCACAAAAACTTTTAATATATAATTTCTCATCTAGGCACCACAGCCACAAATAATATAAGTATTAAACTCAGGTTAGTGTCAATAGTACCTTTAAAATGGCTAGCAAAATTGAAAGTAAGCCAAATTGCTTTTAACCAAATCTCCATCTTTACAGACTCATATTTTATTTTTTAAATTTTATTTATTTATTTATTTTGAGACAGTCTCACTTTGTCATTCTTGGTAGAGTACCACGGTGTCTAGCTCACAGAAACCTCAGAATCTTGGGTTCAAGTGATTCTCTTGCCTCAGCCTCCCAAGTAGCTGGGACTACAGGCATCAGCCTGCTATTTTTAGAGACAAGGTCTCACTCTGGCTTGGGCTGGTCTCAAACTCATGAGCTCAAGCAATCCACCCACCTTAGCCTCCCAGAGTGCTAGGATTACAAGCATGAGCTACCGCACCCATCCATATTTTATTTTTATTTCCTTATTCCCAAGGAATAGCAATTAAACTTCTGGGATCACAAGATTATACCATAGTAAGAGAAAGTTCAAAAGTACTTCATTTCTTTAAAAAAAATTATAACCCAATCTTCAATCCTTATTTAGAAAATCCATTAATATTTGAATAGATTACAATATAATTATCCATTCCATTATTTACTCTGGAACCATGAAAATGACAAGTTCTCAATTATATTTCAGAAATAAACCAGTTTTCAAGGATCTTTTCAGACACGTATCTACTAGATGCCTAACATAATCCACATGCAGACAGGCACTTACCAACTACTAATGCTATAATTTTCCACTCACTATCACTGCACGTGCTCGAATTCATAAGGCTGAGACCAAATGAAAAACAAGACAGAAAAGCTAAGCTTGTGACTGTCACACATATTAATGCACCTCCATCTATAGGGACTTCTTGGTGTATCTCCAGGGCAACCAAAAAGCAGCCTAACTCTAAAGAGCCTGGACAAGAACACTTAAGACATCATATAAACAATATTGCGCAGCTCGTGATCCTCAGCCTGTTGCTTAATCTCTCAAAATAAATGACTTTATTGTACAGGTCTGACACCCTCAGCACACAGGACAGTGGAATCCAAGCACATGATGGGAATGGGGCCTCCGGGGCAACATCTACCACAGGGCTGAGAGCTCTGCGCTGTCTGGTCCACTACGCCCACACCCTTCCACATTTCACTCTATACCCCACTTCCTAAGTCTTCCTCACTGCAGGACAGGTAAAGGTGGGGTGTGATCCTGAACACTTATTTCATAGGAAGGCGATTTTACAGCTTGCCTTGACAGATTGAACCAAACCCTCCACGCCAGGGAAACTTTCCAAAACCAGCTGTCATTGATCACCACCTTATTTATGTGACAATGTGGAAAAATTAAATTAGGCATGTTTAGAGATGGAAAATAACAATATTATGTGGTGCAAAACCAAATTAGGAAAAGACAGGAACCTGTGATAAAGGAAAAAGAATTAGGAGATCTGCATTTCAGTCCTGCTGTTGCCCCTGGACTTACGAACTTGAACCAACCACCTAAACTCTCTAGGCCTCAGTTTTGAGGCAAAATAAAAGTTTGAAAACAGAAGCCTTCTAGTTCAATCTAGAGAATGAAAATTCTCTGATCTGAAAATAAAATTATCATTTTAAAATGATCAATGACCTGTCAACTTAGAAAATATATGAAATCTACTGGGCGTAGTGGCTCATGCCTATAATCCTAGTACTGTGGGAGGCCAATGTGGGAGGAATACTTGAACTCAGGAGTTCAAGACCAGCATGAGACCCCATCTCTACTAAAAGTGGAAAAGTTATCCAGGCATTGTGGTGGGTGCCTGTAGTCCTGGTTGTTCAGGAGGCTGAGGCAGGAAGATTACTTGAGCCCAGGAGTTCGAGGTTATTGTGAGGTAGGCTGAGGATACAGAACTCCCAGGTAACACAGCAAGGCTCTTATCTTAAAAAAAAAAAAAAAAAAAGTAAAAGAAAGAAAATGTATAAAATGAAAAGCAACTCTTAAGATTTGTGGCTTGGCCAGCCATAGTGGCTCATGCCTGGAATACCAGCACTCTGGGAGGCCCAGGCAGGTAGATTGCTTGAGCTTAGGAGTTCAAGACCAGCCTGAGCAAGAGCAAGACCCTGTCTCTACTAAAAATAGAAAAAAATTGTCAGGCATCATGGTGGGTGCCTCTAGTCCCAGTACTTAGGAGTCTGAGGCAAGAGGATCACTTGAACCCAGGAGTTTGAGGTTGCTGTGAGCTAGGACACCATGGCACTCTACCCAGGATGATAAAATGAGACTCTGTCCCAAAAAAATAAAAAAAGAAGAAGAAGATTTGTGGCTTAATTTCTTAAGAACTTTAGAAGAAAATGCAGAATTAGACTAACTTCTATACTGCCTGAAAAATCCTAAGGTGTTGGCTATCACATAATACTACCTGCTTTTCTTCTCTGGGAGACCATAGAAGTACTATACACGGAAAATGTTCTAAAAATGTAAGATATTATTATTTCTATCCTTCTTTGAAAATTAAATATCACCATTATTAACAATAAAAATAAACACGCTATGAGTTACCCTGATCTTATGCTAAGTGCTTAATAACATTGACTCAGTTTCTCCACCACAAATGGAATAAAAGAGAATGTTTATCAAAAATTAAAAGTCAAAAATAGCCAGGCATGGTGGTGCCACCTGTGGTCCCAGCTACTCGGGAGGCAAGAGAATTGCTTGAACCCGAGTTTGAGGTTGCTGTGAGCTATCATGATGCCATGGCACTCTACCCAGGGTGACGGAGTGAAACTCTGTGTCCAAAAAAAAAAAAGAAAGAAAAGAAAAAAATTTAAAAGTCATAATTATGGGGAAGAGGTGGTAGTGAATGAACTGAGGGAAAAAAGAATTGGTTCTAGAATAATATAAGATGAGGTAAGCATTTTAGGGGAAAGTAAACAGTTAAGCCTACACAGAAAAGCTTTGATTTTATCCAAAGTCTGAGTCATAGACGTTTGGCCTGGTAACCATCCTTCACAAAGGACGGCAGTAACTGCCAATAGTCTTAACCTTCCATTTTCATTTTTTAACAAAACAGTCCTTCTTTTCTTTTTGGGGAAATTTTCTCCCTGTGGGACAAAAAACTGTCTGAATAAATAGTGCTAGAGGAAATGACAAGCAAAGTAAAAGCACTACGAAATACTCTGGGATTAAATTATATAACTTGAATTACATAACAAGCATGAAGCAGCATTTTCTATATTTCACACAATTCTCCCAGAATTTTGCAGGGCTTTTAAAAATGTGTGCACTGCATTGTACCTACAGATCACCTGTAGGGGGCACTAATCTTTTGCTTAAGATAATATCCTAAAGCAGAAAAATACGTGATTAAAAAACATGCTATGAAAAAAGAAAAGAAAGAACATTCTATGAGCAACAAAAATTCTAAACAAGGTACTCACGACGACATAGACAATAGTTCAAATTTATTTTGGAGAGAGAAAAGAACAGAAGACTGTATTATCCAAATGGCTTAACTGATCAAAAACACTACACCAATAGTTTCATTTTGTTAACTTATAAAGGTTTGGTTTTATGTAGACTAAATCAAATTCCACCTGGAAGCAAAGTGGACCATCACATACTGCTTAATGTTTCAACAGCCTTTTTCAAAAGTATGACAT